TTGGATCAGCCCAGCTCCTGCCATTGCAGCCATTTGGGGAGTGAACCAGCTGATGGAAGATCTGTGTGTGTGTGTGTGTGTGTGTGTATACATGCACACATACATACACACACACACACACACACTTCTGGCTTCTGTTTCTGCCTCTCTGTAACTCTGCCTTTCAAATAAATAACTAAATCCTCAAAAAAATTAAGCTGATTAAATAAATAAACTCGTTTAATAACTAGAAAAAGGTATTCATTAATATATCAATATATTTATTTTATTCATTTGGGAGACAGAGACAGAGAGATCTCCCAACCATTGGTTCACTCCCCAAATGCCTACCACAGCCATGGACTTGACCAGACTAAAACCAGGAGCCAGGAACTCAATCCAGGTCCATATAGTTGGCAGAGGCGTAAGTACCATAGCCATAACCTGCTGCCTCCCAGGAGGCACATTAACAGGAACTTGGAATCAGGAATAGAGCTTGGACTCAAACCCAGGCACTCTGACATTGGATGTGAGTGTCCCAAGAGGCATCTAAATTGCTGCATAGACTAGCAGACATTTAATTTTTATTTATTTTTATTTAAAAATTTTACTTATTTAGTATTTTTATTATGTAAGAGTGAGGAGACAGAGTTTGATTCAGGTCAAGTCTATTAAAGATATATGAAAGAAAGGATGATGAACAAGGCACAAAAATATGAATGCACATGAATCATGTGGCTAAATTGACTAGCCAATAAAAATTGAAGTAAATATTAACATATAAAAATACACTGTTATAGGCTGGCGCCATGGCTCACTAGGCTAATCCTCTGCCTGCGGCGCCAGTACTCCAGGTTCTGGTCCCGGTTGGGGCACCAGATTCTGTCCTTGTTGCTCCTCTTCCAATCCAGCTCTCTGCTGTGGCCCGGGAAGGCAGCGGAGGATGGCCCAGGTGCTTGGGCCCACTGGGAGGAAGCACCTGGCTTCTGGCTTCGGATTGGTGCAGCGCGCCAGCCACAACACACTGGCCATAGCGGCCACTTAGGGGGTAAACCAATGGAAAAGGAAGACCTTTCTCTCTGTCTCTCTCTCTCACTGTCTAACTCTGCCTGTCAAAAAACATACACTGTTATAACTCATAACCTGTCAGTGAAGTGGAAGAAACATGTGATGATAGTATCAAGAAGATCCCTTCTCAAAGCTCAAAGAATCAATGTTGCCTACAGCACTTTGACAGCATCTCTGTCCACACACACAGGGACTTTTACAGTGCTCTCTTCCCAGTGCTAATGCTGTACTGTCATCTGCTAATTCCCCAGCAATTGTGCATCTGTAACTGATACACTTCTACAACATGTATGTACAAATTTGCAATTTTTCATTAGGATTTGTGCTGTTGTGCCATGCATCTCATATTTTATAATGATGTATATAAATTCAAACCATTAGATAAATGAAAATTTTATAGCTTTATGGATAATTAAATAATAAAACATGGCTAATGTTTATCAAAAGGCATCAATAATTGTAATTTTTTTGCCTTTTTTTAGAAGTTTTATTTGAGAGTCATATTTACACACAGAGAACTTCGTATGGGTCCCCAAATGGGTGCAGGGGCCCAAGCATTTGAACCATCTTCCACTGCTTTCCCAGGCCATGAGCAAGGAGCTAGATCAGAAATCAAGCAGCAAAGACTCACACTGGTACCCATATGAAATGCTGGTGCCACAGGCAGAGCCTTAACCTTAACCGCAGTGCCAACCACTTGCCCTAATTTTTTACCTAATTTTTTTTATTTTAAAGCAAAAAATTATATGCCTTACCCTTTATTTTATGAATGTGTTAGTACTTATTTCTAATGGTTGAAAATGCCTAATAAAATATAATGATCATATTTTAAAAACAATTCCCTAATATTTCCAGTAATTTGGTATTTCTGGGGCCAAATATTTGGCCTGGTAAGACCAGTTACAAAACCTACATCCCATATCAGAGTGCCAGGATTCAAGTCCTGGCTCTACTGCTTATGCAAGTTTCCTGTTTTAAACACTGGGAGACAGCAGTGATGGCTTAAGGTCTTGGGTCCCTACCACACATGTGGAACACCTGGATTGAATTCACAGCTCCTGGCCCAACCTCACCTATTGTGAGCATTTGGAAAGTAAACCAGTGAATGGAAGTTTTATCTCAATTTCTATCTTGATCTCTATCATTTCTATCTCTATCGCTATCTCAATCTCGATCTCTGTCATCTCTGTCCCTGTCTCTGTCTCCAGCTCACCTTCTCTTTATTTCTCAATTAAATAACTTTAAAAATTTAACTTCCAGAAATTTTTATCTTTGAAATAGTAACAGTCTATAACTTCCAGATTTATATTTTATGTAAGTTACATAAACTTAAAATGAAAGCATTGACTATACATACTGGAGTTAGAGTCACATAGACTATGATTGGAAGGGAAAGTACCAAATAAATAGATGGATTCTCCAAATTACTTTGTCCTTAAAACAGACACAAAAGAGAAGAAAAAAAATACTCAGTCTTGAAAGTTCAACTACTAGTGCTACTTGCAGGGAACTAATTTAGAGAATCATTATAGCTAAGGGAAGAGGAAGGCATCACAAAATTTAAGTTTCTATAATAGTACTCATAATATTTTGTGTACTCATGTACCATCTAATGAAGAGATTTAGTGGGATAGATGTCTATTATTTCACTAGAACTATGGAATATCAAACTCAACTGTTTGCTACTTTGACATGACGATCATAGCTAACCTGATCACTAGCCCAAAGGTTGCCATTTTGAAACAAAATAGATGACCTGGATGATGAAGAGATATTAGTACTTTAATTATTAGTATGGTTGAACTTGGAAAGCTTGTACCAGTAAATCTGCTAAATTATCCTGCCTGGCTGAAGGTGACATGTATTTCCTAAGAAAATTCACCACAACATGAATAAATCATAATTTGCTTAATTTTGTTGTTCTTTTTAAACGCCTTCTCCTAAAAACTATAAGGTATGCTTATTTCTTTTCATTTTTGCCCTCATTTGCCCATAGCTACTTTTGCATTTCTATCATTTTGTGTATTTACTGTATTTATCTTGATTTGCTATGAAAAATATTTCAATTCAATAATTTTCTCATCAATTTAGCCCAACTTTTAAAAACTATTCATTTTCTGCTACATTGAAGGGAAAGTGACAGGGAAGGAGGGAAAGAGAGAGAGAGAGAGAGAGAGAGAGAGAGAGAGAGAGAGAGAGAATCTCCTATCTACTAGTCTACTATTGAAATGCCTGTAGGTGCCAGTGTAGGCCAAGCCAAAGGCAGAAATCTGAAACTCCATCCAGGTCTTCAACATGGGTTTCATGCTACCTCCCAGAATGCATTAGCAGAAAGCTGCAACATAAATGGAGTTGTTGGGTCTCGAACCAGGTCTCTGATATGAGTTGCATCCCAAGAGAATACACCAGATAAGGCCAATACCAACCATTGCCAAAGGCAATTCTACATATTTCCATTTAGTATGTACGTTGAGCCCTCAGGCAGGGAAGAATGTGAAACACTCAGATCATTCTTGGATCTTCAGTCTGTCTAAAATAGGACTGCTGCTCCTGGATATTTGATGTCTATTTTCTTATTGTCATTTTTCCTCTTATGGGCTTGAAATTCTTCAAATTACACTAGATAGAGAGGATGATTTTAGGACCCTACAATGTTGGCACACAATCAGGGACTCAAATCAGTCTATCAAGCCTCCAAGAGCATTGTTTTAAGATCTTTGTTTCAACCATTAATATCCAGTTATTTATCCTATTTCCTAATAACTTTTTAAAAGTTATTGCCTGCATCTCTCAGCTGTGGCCAGGGAGTGCAGTGGAGGATGGCCCAAGTGCTTGGGCCATGCACCCCATGGGAGACCAGGAGAAGCACCTGGCTCCTGCCTTCGGATCAGCGTGGTGCGCCGGCCACTGCGCGCCAGCCATGGCGGCCATTGGAGGGTGAACCAATGGCAAAGGAAGACCTTTCTCTCTGTCTCTCTCACTGTCCACTCTGCCTGTCAAAAAAAAGTTATCGCCTGATCTAATTACTTGACAACCATGTTTTCACTTTTCTCAATCTCATGTCAATCACTGAAATATATTTAACATCTGTAAGAACCACATGGACATGTGGAGACAATATATCTGTTACAGCTTTTCAGATGATGAATATTATAGCAATAGAGTTAGTTATTTGTGATGTCCATGCCAAAGTGTTCTCTTAACCACAGCACTGAGCATGCCTGGGTAGAGTACACAAGTGAGAGAAGGAGCCTATATTCATAAAGCAATCGGATGTGGTTGTATATACAGCACATCCACTGCTTCTGTATGGGAGACACACTTTCTACCAAAATGTAGGGAGGGATGATAGTTCCCTTTTCTACATAAAACATCCCATCTGGGCACTGAATTGTGTCCCAGCTGACTGTCTTCTAATTCAGCTTCCTGATAATTGCATGAGAAAGCATCAGAAGATGGCTTAAGTTGTTGGGCCCTTGTCATACATGAGAGAGACTCTGGCCTCTGTGTCTGCAGTTCTAGGTCCTGAGGGATACTGTCCAGGGTGAAGAGCACAGAGACAGGCTGATAAATTTATCTGGCAGAGGGGTGGTACCCTGGCCTTGGTCAGTTCCCCCATGGTGACTCTAAAACAGGTGGCAAGTGCTCCTCATCCAAACAAATGGGCATTTCTCCCATGCTAGCCCACCAGGAGGGGCATCCTCATGGGTCCACTCTGGGGCATGTCCCAGATCCTGGGGATAGCTCTGCCTGGAATCCTCTGGTTTTGCAGAGGCAAACATGTGGCCAGACAGTTGCCAAGACAGATCCCAAAACAGGTTCCAGGCTCACTGGAGAACATCTCACCAGCCCCTGAGAATCTCTGAGATGTTATAGGATGCTAGATGATGGCCAGACTGAAAAAAAAATGGCACGAAGTTTTCCTCTAAGAGAACAACCAGTGAATCATTCAGGTCCCTCCCTCACTTCACTGAAGTAATAGTTTTGTCTTTTCCTCTGACAGTTTATTATTTCCAGTTCCCTGGCACTTCAGTGAAGAACTAGGAAGATGTTTAGAGATGCTGAGTGATACATAAATCAATTGCATAATTTCATGAGGCCACTAGATAAGAGGTGAGACAATCATGATTCCTATCATGCAAATATCTTCAGACTAGAGCAAATGGATCAATTTTATGTCAACATTGTGTGGTCAGTTCAAAGAATAGGTGGTGTCCATGAGGCTGGAGCTTCATTTAGTCCAGTTTAAATGATTGGTTGTTGTTTCTGCACTGATATTGTTCCCAAAAGATCAAACTCTGGACAGGGAGGTTATTGTTATTATTATTTTAATTGCTTTTCATTTGTCAAGAATAAAAGTAATTTAGCTTTTTAATAGAATTGTTCCAAATAATTCTAAGGGTTTACATAAATTACTGTTACTTTTATTGTTAAATAGAGGCAACAAGACTGAAACAATGAAAATCATAAAATGCTAGATGTCAAATTTCTGTAAGGCAGGCTTAGGAAAGATGTAGCTGGGAATATCCCAGCCACACAGTCATCAGAAGCTGAGGGCTCCCTTCAGTCCTGGCACTGCTCAGTTCTTCCCGCTGCTGAAGCCTGCCTCAGTCTGGCCCTGCCATGGGATCTCGCCTCAGAGCAAAGACATCAGAGTCCCAGGGGCAGCTTCCCATCTCTTCAGAGCTGCTGCCCACATTTTCCACAAGTTCAAAAGCAGAAAAATTTTGTAAAAGTGTATTTTTGGTGCCTTAATTCTGCCTTTTTCATTAAAACTTGGCTTCTAAAACATCTCTCTCATTACCTTGTTGGTCATTTGTGGGAGTTGAATAGCTGCTCATATATCACAAAGAATTAAATGTAAACTCAAGAACTAAACATCCTCCTAAATAATGACTATTTCATCCTTTCCTTCTGTGTCCTCCCTATCTAGGTTACGTGGCTTTTATTCTCTGTGCTTTGTTTTTTTTTTAAGGCACAGTGGACAGTGGGAGAGAGAGACAGAGAGAAAGGTCTTCCTTTGCCTTTGGTTTATCCTCCAATGGCTGCTGCTGCCAGCGCGCTGTGGCCGATGCACTGCACTGATCCGAAGGCAGGAGCCAAGTGCTTCTCCTGGTCTCCCATGTGGGTGCAGGGCCCAAGCACTTGGGCCATCTTCCACTGCACTCCCGGGCCACAGCAGAGAGCTGTACTGGAAGAGGAGCAACCTGGACAGAATCTGGCACCCCGACCAGGACTAGAACCCTGTGTGCTGGCACCGCAGGTGGAGGATTAGCCTATTGAGCCGCGGCGCCAGCCCTCTGTGTTTTAAAGTCATTGATAATTAAACCTAAGGAATAGAAATGTGCATCTTTCCTAACTCTAAATTTTCAAGTCGATCACTGACCTTTAGTAGTTAATTAACAGTGGATTATGGAAAACTACTAACATAATATGTTCAAGTTTTCCAGCACAGGGCTCCATTAAACATTTATAATTATATAACTCATGATCAGGAAGCATTGTTTTCTAAAAAAAAAAAAACATGTTGTTTTCTAAAACACAAACTTATTCATATTCCAGTGCCTTCTCAGACCTTTAAAGGGACAACAGGGAAACTGTGTTTCAGGATGGTGATTCACGATTTTCACTGGTAGCCCATGGACTTTATACCATGAATACATGGGTATAAGACAGTGTGAACTGAGCTTGATTCTCTGGCTCAGTGATAAAAATATTGAGTCTAGGAGTGAGGGTACGCACCGATAGTCCGGGAAAAGATAGTTTAATAAAAGTGGAGTTACAGTAGACTCAGGAAAAGGATCAGGGAAAAATTGCAGAGTAAACTCTTCCGGATCTAGTGGCTGTGACTCGGAGGACCTACGGGGAGAGCAAGGTCACCCACCGAGTGGAAGCCGAGCTGCGGGAGCCGCTGGACCCGCCGGACCTGCCGGATGCACCAGACCCACCAGAGCTGCAGAGTCTGCGTGCCAGCACTGGGAGGGGAGGTGAGACAAAAACCTCTCAGTAACCCAAGACATTGGTGGGGAAAGGCAGAAAGAGCCTGCAGAGAACGAGGCCTGAAACCCCATTGGGGAAAGTTCACCAGGCTGGCTGGAGGAGAGAAAAAAATTGAATAAATAAGGGGAACCGGCATGGACATTTAGCCTTTCTCTCCACTCACCTTACACAGCCGAGCAAGACAAAGAGAAGGCGCTATTTTACGTAAGTAAAGCAGTGTGTGTCATTTTGCATATGTAAAGCGGGTGCCCCTCATTAGCCAAGCAGAAAAACCTGACTCTGGTAAGCAAATAAATACCCACAGGGGCCAGATTTCATACATCAACTACTCTCAATTCCACTCAGCTGTGTGGAATTACTTCCCAACTGAGTCAAAAAAAAAGAGAGAGAGGGAGAGAGAGAGAGCAAGAGAACAATCAGGGTGAATCACCTTTGGCACACACTTAACCCTGTAGAACCAGAGCTCTCTGGCCACACCCATCACAGCCTCTAAGGATCCATCAAAAGCAGACAGTCCTCTTAATCTAGAGTCACAGTATAAAGAAAAAAAAAACAAATAATAGCTCCAATATGCCAAACAAATGCAAAAACTGAGGTAACAAGAACAAGGAAGACACTTTGAGGCCCCAAATGAAATAGACACCCCAATTCAAGGTTATGAAGATGATGAGATAGAAGAAATGCAAGAAGCAGATCTCAAAAAATTGATAAGAACATTAAGAAGTTCTCAAAAGCAAATTCTCGAACTACAGAAATCCTTAATGGACAAGATAGAAAATCTCTCTCGTGAAAATGAAATATTGAGGAGGAATCAAAATGAAATGAAACAACTAGTAGAAAATGAAACTGTGATAGTGATGAGAAATCATAATAAAATGAAGAATTCAATAGATCAAATGACAAACACATTAGAGAGCCTTAAAAACAGAGTGGGTGAAGCAGAAGAGAGAATATCAGACTTAGAAGACAAAGCACAAGAAAATATACAATCAAACCAAAGAAAAGAAGAGGAAATTAGAAATCTAAAACATATTGTCGGGAATCTTCAGGATACTATTAAAAAACACAACATTCAGGTTCTAGGAGTTCCTGAAGGCATGGAGAGGGAGGAAAGATTAGAAGGCCTTTTTAGTGAGATAATAGCAGAAAATTTCCCAGGTTTGGAGAAGGACAGAGAAATCCTAGTACAGGAAGCTCACAGAACCCCTAATAAACATGACCAAAAGAGATCCTCACCACACACATTGTAATTAAACTCACCACAGTGAAACAGAAAGAAAAGATCCTAAAATGTGCAAGAGAGAAAATGTCAGATTACTCTCAGAGGATCTCCAATCAGACTCACAGCTGACTTCTCATCAGAAACCCTACAAGCTAGAAGGGAACGGCGAGATATAGCCCAGGTACTCAGAGAGAAAAACTGCCAGCCCAGAATATTATATCCTGCAAAGCTCACATTTGTGAATGAAGGTGAAATAAAGACCTTTCATAGCAAACAGAAATTGAAAGAATTTGTCGCCACTCGTCCAGCCCTGCAAAAGATGCTTAAAGATGTGTTACACACAGAAACACAGAAACACGGTCATCAATATGAAAGAAGGTAAATGAAGAAAACCTCACAGCAAAAGATCACAGGAAGTTCAAAACATATATTAGAAAATATCTTTGGCAAATGGCAGGGCAAAGCTACTACTTATCAATAGTGACATTGAATGTTAATGGCTTGAACTGTCCAGTTAAAAGACACCGATTGGCTGATTGGCTTAAGGAACAAAACCCATCTATTTGCTGCTTACAAGAAACACATCTTTCCAACAAAGATCCATATAGACTGAAAGTGAAAGGCTGGAAAAAGATATACCATGCCAACAGAAATGAAAAAAGAGCGGGCGTAGCCATCTTAATTTCAGACAACATAAACTTTACCACAAAAACTGTTAACAGAGACAAAGAGGGGCACTATAAAATGATTAAGGGATCAATTCAACAGGAAGATATAACAATTATCAATGTATATGCACCTAATTACAGGGCACCGGTTTATTTAAAAGATTTGTTAAGGGACTTAAAGGGAGACTTATACCCCAATACAGTAGTACTGGGGGACTTCAATACCCCACTCTCAGAAATAGACAGATCAACAGGACAGAAGATCAACAAGGAGACAGCAGATTTAAATGACACTATAGCCCACATGGATCTAACAGATATCTACAGAACTTTTCATCCTACATATAAAGCATTTACATTCTTCTTAGCAGTACATGGAACCTCCTCTAGGATTGACCACATACTAGGCCATAAAGCAAGTCTCAGCAAATTCAAAAGAATTAGAATCATACCATGCAGCTTCTCAGACCATAAAGGAATGAAGTTGGAAATTAGCAACTCAGGAATCCCTAGAGCATATGCAAACGCATGGAGATTGAACAACATGCTCCTGAATGAACAATGGGTCATAGAAGAAATTAAAAGAGAAATCAAAAATTTTCTGGAAGTAAATGAGGATAACAGCACAACATACCAAAACTTATGGGATGCAGCAAAAGCAGTGTTAAGAGGAAAGTTTATATCAATAGGTGCCTACATCAAGAAATTGGAAAGGCACCAAATAGATGAGCTTTTACTGCATCTCAAGGATCTAGAAAACCTACAGCAAACCAGACCCAAATCTACTAGGAGAAGAGAAATAATTAAAATCAGAGAAGAAATCAACAGGATTGAATCAAGAAAAACATTCCAAAAAATCAGCCAAATGAGGAGCTGGTTTTTTGAAAAAATAAACAAAATTGACACCCCATTGGCCCAACTAACTAAAAAAAGAAGAGAGAAGACCCAAATCAACAAAATCAGAGATGAACAAGGAAATGTAACAACAGACACCACAGAAATCAAAAGAATCATCAGAAATTACTATAAGGACCTGTATGCCAGCAAACAGGGAAACCTATCAGAAATGGATAGATTCCTGGACACATGCAACCTACCTAAATTGAACCAGGAAGAGATAGAAAATCTAAACAGACCCATAACTGAGACAGAAACTGATACAATAATAAAGGCCCTCCCAACAAAGAAAATCCCAGGACCAGATGGATTCCCTGCTGAATTCTACCAGACATTTAAAGAACTAACTCCAATTCTTCTCAAACTATTCAGAACAATCAAAAAAGAGGGAATCCTCCCAAATTCTCTCTATGAAGCCAGCATCACCTTAATTCCTAAGCTGGAAAAAGATGCAGCATTGAAAGAGAATTACAGACCAATATCCCTGATGAACATGGATGCAAAAATCCTCAATAAAATTCTGGCCAATAGAATGCAACAGCACATCAGAAAGATCATCCACCCAGACCAAGTGGGATTTATCCCTGGTATGCAGGGATGGTTGAATGTGTGCAAAACAATCAATGTGATACACCACATTAACAGACTGCAGAAGAAAAACCATATGATTATCTCAATAGATGCAGAGAAAGCATTTGATAAAATACAACACCCGTTCATGATGAAAACTCTAAGCAAACTGGGTATAGAAGGAACATTCCTCAATACAATCAAAGCAATTTATGAAAAACCCACAGCCAACATCCTATTGAATGGAGAAAAGTTGGAAGCATTTCCACTGAGATCTGGTACCAGACAGGGTTGCCCACCCTCACCACTGCTATTCAATATAGTTCTGGAAGTTCTAGCCAGAGCTATTAGGCAAGAAAAAGAAATTAAAGGGATACAAATTGGGAAGGAAGAACTCAAACTATCCCTCTTTGCAGATGATATGATTCTTTACTTGGGGGACCCAAAGAACTCTACTAAGAGACTATTGGAACTCATAGAAGAGTTTGGCAAAGTAGCAGGATATAAAATCAATGCACAAAAATCAACAGCCTTTGTATCCACAGGCAATACTAAATGATTTATGTGCACATTGAAACTTTGGAGGAAATGCTGAGCTAAGCATTTCTCAGTACAGGATTCCAGTGATGATCATGTGGGCAGTCTTAAGAAATAACATCTGTAACTTGTTCTCAAATATTTATTTCATTTTAGTGTATTAAGTGAAGATATGAACAGCACTTGTCCTGATGGTTGAGGAACAGTTTTTTGTGTATATGTGCAAATTGTTGAAATCTACTTAGTATAGAGTTGGTCTTCTTTGTATAAAGTTAATTGAAAATTAATCTTAGTGTAGAATGGGACTGGGAATGAGAGAGGGAGGAAGAGGAGGGGTGGGAATGTGGGTATAGTGGGAAGAATGATTACATTCCTAAAGTTGTACTCATGAAATGCATGAAGTTTGTATTCCTTAAATAAAAGATTTCTATTGGAAAAAAAGAAATAACATTGCTTATGTCTTCTCTCACAGCCTCTTTGTACAAAAGAAATCATTTTGTAAAAAATAATTGATGAGTATACTTTATGCTTTTATTATGTACTACATAATGTTAATAATGTTATAAACATACATTATGGAATGATTAAATATATTCTACTACTGAAGTTAAGATTTTTCAATGGGTTTAAATTTAGTTATGCAAAATGAATAAATTATAGAAATCTTTTGTACATAGTATCTACAGTTTAATGTGTAGTATTCACTTAAATATCTTCAAGAAAAATTTTTGTGGTAAATTTTTTCACTAACAACAAGGAAAAAGACCCAATAAACCCAATTATAGGACTTAAAAGTTGAAAGCTATTAAAATTAAATATACAGGTATATCTGCATGACCACAGATTTGAAAATAAAGTTGTAAGCATTGTACAAAATTACAGGAAGCAAGGTAAAATGTATATAAATTAGAGCCAGAATTACTCATGTGACCAAGGTATCAAAGAAATCTGAGAGTCTGGGAGTATGAAAACCCACACAGTCTGTTCAAAATAATGTTCTTTAGAAGGATAAAGTGTGTCCAACCCCATAGTGCTGCTGGGAATGGAAATTTCCTTGTTTCCATAAAGGCACTAATTAGACTAGATATGAATTTTTGAGAGCTTAGTGATACATGAGAAAGCTGCTAGAGTCTTCTAAACAAGGCAGAAACCATTGGCAGTGTTGTGGCACTGACTCATTTTGAAGTTGGAGCTATTGCAAGACTCCTGTGTTGCTGACAATGACTGTAACCATACAGTCCCCACAGGCAGATGTAGGATAGCAAGGTGTGTTCATGTGTGGGGAAGGTGAGGCTCAGCTGTTCTTTCCCTGTGCTTTTCCATGTTCCCCTCTGGTGACTCCTGTACATACCAATCTCAAGTCCAGAGCTTGTCCTGTTTCACAGGTGACAAGAAAATTGTGGGCCTGATGGGAGATGAGCTCATAGCAGATCTTCTTATAACCACATGGGTGGAGGTTCATCTCACTTTTGTGGGCTTCCTGCAGAGACTCAGCTAGGTGAGTGTGTGTTTCTCAGCTCTGTCAGAGGCCAGGAGCGCTCCAAAGGGGAGTTGTTAGATGTTGTAGGATGAGATCAATGACAACAAGGAAAATTCTATTTTCATAATTTCAGCCTTGCAGCATAGAAAATCACAAGTGAAGTCAGTAGATGCTACAGATGTAAAAATCAATTTCATACATCTTATGAGGCTAAAATTCACAGATTGAAAACACAACATTTATAGTTACAGGATTCTGCATTTAAATTAGAATTGCATTTGACTGTTATCTTACTTGAGTAATTTTATCACTTTCAATTACTATACACATAATATGAAATTTTTTTTTGAAAAACATTGAGGCTATTCTAAATAAGAATGCTTTCTTTTTTGCTTTGAGTTATTTTAAATTTAAGGGTAAGTTGTTTTAAATATTTTGAAATTTTTAAAATTTTCATAGCATACAACATTAAATTTTTAATCTTGAAAATATTTGAATATTAGCATGTCAATAAAAATAAATATTTTGTGATTAGAGAAAAAAGTTCAAATTCCATGAACTTAGATCTCCTTTTAAGAACAGAACCCTCTAATTTTAGTTCTTTTGCAGTTTACTTTAAAAGTTTTAATTTTTATTTCATACTTAAAATATACTTTAAATGATCAGTTGATTTCAATATCATTATTGTGTCATCATTAGTTTCAAGATAATGCCTGAATTCAGCAGGCTTCCTGCCTATTTGCCTTTAAGTGCCAAATGGCAAAGTGTACAGAGTGTCAGTTTAAAAAAAGAGAAACATTCTAGTGATCTGCTGCACAGTATGATGACTCTTCTATTGTTAATATACTGTGCATTTCAATATTGCTAATAGAGATTTTAATGCTCTCATAACAAAGAAGTAACAAGTATATGGGATAATGAACAGGTGAATTAACATGACTGAATCATAATTTGATGTATATGTGAACCCTATCATTTCATTGTAACCCACAAATAAACATGCTTATGATTTGCTAAAGTAACATGAAATAACATACCATGCTTATGATTTGCTAAAGTAACATGAAATAACATACATGAACACACCTTGCTATCCTACATCTGCCTGTGGGGACTGTATGGTTACAGTCATTGTCAGCAACACAGGAGTCTTGCAATAGCTCCAACTTCAAAATGAATTATTCTGAAAATAAATGACTAAATGAAGTAAAGTAATGATGAGAATTAGCCATGCCTTGCTGATGAGAACCAAATGCCTCAAGAAACAACCTGTAGAACTCATTATTTTCTATGTGGACTCTGGAGATGGTTAATTTTGTCTCAGCAGCCCTTATGGATTTCTTGTATTTGAGCATGGGCACTCTGAGATAAGGAGCCTCCAATGACCCCAACCAGGGCACCTGCAACAGAGGAAACAGGTTTTCAATTTCCTTCCAAATTCCCTACCTCAGTCTGCTGTTGTGACTCTTACCCTTATATATGCAAGCCGATCATATCTGTTAGATTTTCAGAAATTTCTTTGTGCAGTGGATAACCAGTCACTGGTTTTACAATGCTATACAAAATATAGTCAATTAATGAGAAAAATATTTTTGATTTTCGTAATTCAACAATAAAGAATAAGGTACTATTTTATAATATAGATTACATATATACATCTGAGCTGGGAAGAATACAAAAATCTATGTATAAACGATGTCCATTGTAAACCAATATTTCTCTGAATTTCAACGTAAATAGCAATGTTATTTTTATCCAAAATGACAGATCATTTTATATAAAATGGTCCCCGTTATCTTGTAAAAGGTTTCTTCCTTTCATTGCACTCCACTTTGCTTCTGATGTAAGTCCATAGATTTGGTGGTAATTCATTTGTTCTTAGTATGTTAAATGGTATTATTTTCCCCACCATAATTCACAATTATCTATATACTTTGGAGCATAAAATATTGACAGTAAAATAAAAATCAGGAAAATGATCATGAAATACATTCTCATTATTTGTCTTCTGATTTCTCAAGTTTTGATTTCTCACCCTTGGCCCCAGCAGAAAATAGTAAATGAGTCTCTTTTTCATGGTACATTCTAAGGTAAACATTCACATTTGTGTATTTTTTAAATAAATCATTTCAAATGCACTTTCCTTTACAATATGATCAACTTGTATCTGACATGTATGGATTTCTTCTCTTTGCATACCTTCTATTTTCTTTCTCCTCTTGTCTGCACTGTGTTATTCAAAACCCTGTAATTGTTTCCATGTCAGGGTTTACAAATTCAGCAAATTCAAATACAGGATCCTCAATTAAGTTTAAATAACAGGACATTGATAAATGGCTTTTAGTAAAAATACACCATATGTGTCTATTAGCTTGTAGTAGCTAACTCATTTGCCTAAAATAGGTTTAATGTAGTTCCTGTTTTTATTTACTGACTTCTCCTCTTAGGAACCATAGTTCTCTGCAGTCCAGCATCAGCATCAAACCCTCAGAGCCTTGCACGTGAACACTTGCAGATGGTGATAGGATTGCATCCAAGAGAATGAGGTAGGTATAACTTTAAGTCAGAAAAGAAATACTAAAATTATTTTCTGCAATGTTTTATCTGAATATCTCCTTGTTTTATGGCTCAAATGCATTGGATTAATGCATTTAAATGATTTAGGTATGTTCAGGCAAAATAAGCATTTGTATCTGTGCCCTATTAATTTTTATTAACACTCCAGAGGAACTCTTAAAATCTGGGAATGATTATGTTTGTGCCTTTAAGTCAACATGATATTGGTGCTTCTCCTGGTCTAACCTGAGATCAAACCAAGTTTGCTGAGAATGTACAACTTCTTAGTGGTAGCAACAGGTTGTATGACCCTGGCAGTTCACATACACAAATATTTTAGTAAGTGTAGCTTTTGGTAAAAGAGTATCAAACGTATAACAGACTCTATGGTTTCCCCATTATAAACACAGACATTTCATTCGGATTTATAGTTTTTTTCTAATTCAACTATTAATCTCTAATATTAACTAAGAACAAAACTTCCCAATATACCTGAATGCTTATAATGATGGGCCTACAGTGATACAAGTGTCCTTGAAAACAATCACACACTCATTGGTCTTAGGAAATGGAAGGAATGTGGTAATTTTCAGTTTTCTCAGCATCATACAAGTAAACACTTTATCACATTATTATGGGTTAAATGTCCCCTCTGAAACTCATGCTGAAATTTAATTGCAATTTAAGCAGTATTAAGAGGTGACATAATTCAGAGGTGATCAGACCACAAAGGTCACACCTTCATGGGTATGGTTGGTGTAATTTATTTTATTTTATTTTTTGACACGCAGAGTGGACAGCAAGAGAGACAGAGAGAAAGGTCTTCCTTTGCCATTGGTTCACCCTCCAATGGCCGCCGTGGCCAGCGCACTGCGGGCCGGCGCACCACTCTGATCTGATGGCAGGAGCCAGGTACTTATCCTGGTCGCCCATGGGGTGCAGGGCCCAAGCACTTGGGCCGTCCTCCACTGCACTCCCTGGCCACAGCAGAGAGCTTGCCTGGAAGGGGGTAACCGGGACAGGATCCGGTGCCCCGACTGGGACTAGAACCTGGTGCGCCGGCACCGCAAGGCGGAGGATTAGCCTAGTGAGCCGCAGTGCCGGCCTATGGTTGGTGTAATTTTAAAAAGGCATGTGTACTTCCTTGCTTTATGGCCCCTTAACTTTTTGCTATGGGAGAAAACAGCTAGAAGACACATATCAAATGACAGAACCTCGATCAAGGATTTTCTATCCTCCGGAACTGTGAGAAAATATATTTATGTTATATAATTTTTCTGTTATAGCTTCATGACATGGAAAGAAACCTCCAGATTAAATTAACTAGATAACCTTGTTTTCCCTACATTCCATGTAATAGCATGGTAATGTAATAGTGAAATTTTTTTTTAAACTTTTATTTAATGCATATAAATTTTCAAAGTACGACTTATGGATTACAATGGCTTCCCCCCCATACCGTCCCTCCCACCCACAACCCTCCCCTTTCCCACTCCCTCTCCCCTTCCATTCACATCAAGATTCATTTTCGATTATCTTAATATACAGAAGATCAGCTTAGTATACCTTAAGTAAGTATTTCAACAGTTTGCTCCCACACAGAAACATAAAGTGAAAAATAATAGATGATTTTTTTAAAATGATGATGAAATGAAATCAGATCAGACCTATTGTCATGTTTAATCCCAGTGAGAGTCAAGTTGGGAATTGATAATTTCTTTTTTTTTTTTTTTACAGAGGATCAGTTTAGTATGCATTAAGTAAGGATTTCAACAGTTTGCACCCCCATAGAAACACAAAGTGAAATATATTGTTTGAGTACTCGTTATAGCATTAAATCTCAATGTACAGCACATTAAGGATAGAGATCCTACATGAGGAGTAAGTGCACAGTGACTCCTGTTGTTGACTTTACCAATTGACACTCCTGTCTATGGCATCAGTAGTCTCCCTATGCTCCAGTCATGAGTTTCCTAGGCTATGGAAGCCCTCTGAGTTCTCCAACTCTTATCTTGTTTAGACAAGGTCATAGTCAAAGTGGAGGTTCTCTCCTCCCTTCAGAGAAAGGTACCTCCTTCTTTGAAGACCTGTTCTTTCCGCTGGGATCTCACTCGCAGAGATCTTTTGCCAGAGTGTCTTGGCTTTCCATGCCTGAAATACTCTCATGAGCTTTTCAGCCAGATCCGAATGCCTTTAGGGCTGATTCTGAGGCCAGAGTGCTATTTAGGACATCTGCCATTCTATGAGTCTGCTGAGTATCTCACTTCCCATGTTGGATCACTCTCCCCTTTATTTACTCCATCGGTTAACGTTAGCAGGTACTAGACTTGTCTATGTGCTCCCTTTGACTCCCAGTCCCTCCACCATGACCAACTGTGAACTGAAACTGATCACCTGGAACAGTGAGATGGCATTGGTACATGCCACCTCGATGGGATTGAATTGGAATCCCCTGGTATGCTTCCAACTCCACCACTTGGGGCAAGTCAGCCTGAGCATGTCCCAAATTATACATCTCTTCCCTCTCCCATTCCCACCACCATGTTCAACAGGGATCACATTTCAGTTAATTTTCAACACTTAAGAATAACTGTGCATCAATTACAGATCTAAACCAGTCATATTAAGTAGAACAGATAAAAAAACTACCAAGAGGGATAATGTATTAAGTTGTTCATTAACAGTCAGGGCTATGCTGATCAAGCCACCGTTTCCCATAGTGTCCACCTCACTCCAACAGGTTTCCCTCTTGGTGTTCAGTCAGTCGTCACCGATCAGGGAGAACATATGGTATTTGTCCCTTTGGGACTGGCTTATTTCACTCAGCATGATGTGTTCCAGATTCCTCCATTTTGTTGCAAATGACTGGATTTCGTTGTTTCTTACTGCAGTATAGTATTCTAAAGAGTACATATCCCATAATTTCTTTATCCAGTCTATCATTGATGGGCATTTAGGTTGGTTCCAGGTCTTAGCTATTGTGAATTGAGCTGCAATAAACATTAGGGTGCAGACCTCTTTTTTGTTTGCCAATTTAAATTCCTTTGGGTAAATTCCAATTTTAACATTGTAAAAATATATTTACTAAGGCTTGAAAAGAATGATCTTAATTTTTGAGTATCTAAGAGTCTTTTAAAGCATGGAAGAATGTTCCACAATTTTGTTAGCAATAAACATGTGTTAATGCTGATCAAAATTCAGTATCTAATTATATTGTTCATGATTTGTTTTTCTAACTGAAAGCAGTGATTTCACAGTACTCTACTGAATTGAAGACTTCACATAAAGAATCTCTGGTATGGAAACTGAAAATAACAGAAATCTGAGACCATTCTGAAGATGGGAAGCTAACACAAAAAGTGGATTTCTAGTATGCAGAGTAATACTTACTGATTCTATGAGACCTACTGTATTTGTTTTCTTTTCAGGCATGCCTGTGTTTCCTAACTGTTAATAAGATGAGCACATTTTCTGATCATGTGGCTATTAATAACTGTATTCTCTGCCAAGCTGGCATTGGAATCTCATCCAACAATTTCCTCCTCTTCCATATCTTCACACTCTTGCAGTATCACAAGCCAAAGCTCACTGACATGATCATTTGTCACCTGGCCCTTGTACACACAGTGATGCTTCTCACTGTGCTGTTTTTGAGGTCTCCAGACCTGTTTGAGTTGCTAAGTTTTTGGAATGACTTCAAGTGTAAGGCTTTGTTCTACATCAACAGAGTAATGAGGGGCCTCTCCATCTTCACCACCTGCCTCCTGAGCATCATCCAGGCCATCACCATCAGCTCCAGCACCTCCTGGTTGGCACAGTTCAAGTATAAATCCACACATTTCATCTTCTATTTATTTCTTTCATTATGGTTTCTCTGTTTGTGTTTCAGCACTAGCACAATCTTCCACACTGTGGCATCTTCCAATGTGACCCAAACCAATCTGATGGTTCTCACTAAATATTGTTCATATTACCCCATAAGCCCTAGCATCAGGAGTTTGATCTTCACAGTGTTAACATCCAGGGATGTCTTCCTGGTGGGAGTCATGCTGCTCTCAAGTGTGTACATGGTGATCCTCTTACTCAGGCATCAGAGGAGGTCCCAGCACCTTCACAGCACCAGCCTCTCCCCAAGATTCTCCCCAGAGAAAAGGGCCACCACAACCATCCTGCTGCTGGTAAGTTTCTTTGTGGTCATGTACTGGGTGGACTTCATCATCTCATGCTTCTCCCTGATACTGTGGTCATATGACTCAGTTATCTTGGGTGTACAGGGTGTGGTGGTCAATGCCTATGCCAGTGTCAGTCCATTGATACTAATCAGTTCAAGTAAAAGGATAATTAATATTTTTTCAAAACATACCATGGAAAAGCTTCGAATTTTAACAAATTGAGTAAAAAACAGAGTAGTATTTGGGTGAACATGTAGCACAGATGCTGCTTCAGATGCCCACATCCCATTTGGGTTTGAATACCACCTGTGCTTCTGGTTCTGCTTTGTATAAATGCATATCCTGAATGGCAGCAGGAGCTGGTTTAAGTACATAGGTTGCTGCCACCCACATAGGAGTAACATATGAAGATCTCGAATCCTGAGTTGAGCTTTCTGTACCCTGCTGTTGCTGGCCTTTGAAGAAAAAATCAGATGAGGGATCTCTTTCTCTCTTTCTCCATCTCTCTCCTCTTTTTCTCACCCTATGCCTTTCAGATAAAGTAAAAATAGAAAATATAAATTTTTACAATTCTCTTAAAATAGATTTTCACACATGATGAAAATTATTCTAATGAAATATGTTCCTATGGGAGTCAATAAATCTCTATGGAATTATACTTTTATAACTTTGAAATCTACATTTCTGAGTAATAAATTTTCTTTCAGTTAACATGCAACATGATTTAATATTTCCATATGTTTACCCATTACTTGTTCTATCATTTTGATTCAAGAATTTCACACAGGAAATATTTTATCTCTTCTTAAAGTAATCACTGTAGACGTACTTGATGAAAATTAAACATTCCATGATGCTATTTTGAAAAAAAATAATTGTTATAAAATAAAAATAGATAAGCATTCAATCCTAGCTTGGATATTAATTTTGTCAACAATGGTATTTTTGTGCTTCTCTCCTTTTTGTGTGTTTTTCTAAATAAAGATTGTGGAGATTTTGCTGTCATTGCATTTAAGTTGCAAGTATTTTCCTCCATGCATTCTTAAATTCTTAAAATAGTTTGGGAACATGTACATGTTTATTCATAGGTACATGTACACTAAATGCATACACAGATTTACTAAATATGATTCTGATTTATGTATGAGCATTTTTATTTTTAAGCTTTTTAATATAATGAAATGATGTATGGAGTATCATGTCTGATATACTATGTTAGGCATTTATAAATTGTTTTTATTGGATTACATCTTTCATAATTTTATAAATTCTCTAATCTTATGATCCAAATAAATGGGCTTTATTCCTTATCATTCTAATTATCACATGACTACATTTGATTTTTCTATCATATAGTCATTCTTTAAATCAGTTTGGAAACTCGGTCTTTCAAGTCATTAACACTCTGATCATTTGAGTTTAATTTAATGTTAAACTGTGCATTGTATATTGCTTGTTACATTTTTCAAATATTTGTTTTATTTTGTTATTTTCCCAATATAGCTAATGAAGTTCTTTGTTCTTTATTGTTATTACACCTAATTTTCATCATTAATGCTTTCATTTTCTACTTCAAGTTTTGAAATACGATTCCTATATTGAATTTCTGATAACCTTCATTCTGGTGGCTTAGTTTTGTGTATGCTTCATTATTTTCAATTTGATTATCTCATTAGATGTCTCTCAGTCCTTGGAAAGTCTCTAGTTGGCATATTTCCTTGTTTCTTCCAGTTGACCAGAGGGAATGTTGTAGAACTCACACAGCTTTGAGGCTCAAGTGGTCAGCCAGTGTCCTAGGGTCAGCACTTGTATCTCAGTTGATTTTTTTCTTTCATTCTGTCTATCGGTTTATGTTTCTTATTGAAAAGTTATCCCACATTCCTCTTGGATTTAAGGATTTTTATAACTTTTTGAGTATATTTAGATGTGTTACAAGAGTTTGGGAACATGTACATGTTGTTTCATAGGTACTAAATGCATACACGAATAGAGTATTTCACATGGTTTAAGGAAAACAATAGGCTCTCATGAAAAATAACAGAAATAATGGGTTTCTTATCTGAGAATATTTCATGCCCAGGAAATATGCTACATATTTATAATTTTTGTAGATTGTTATTTGTCATTAATTTCTGATAAATAATCTTATATTTCACATAATTATATGAAGTTATAATCATATTATTGGAGAGCACTAGAATATGGTGATAACTAATATTTTTCCATTCTTTAGATTTTTTTTAAATAGTTGAATTACTTAATTGGATTCAAGTTTTGACTCCAATCATTGTAATTTCTACTTTGCACTTTTCCTATTTCTTTTCCTTTTTTTTTTTTTTTTTTTTGGACAGGCAGAGTTAGACAGTGAGAGAGAGAGAGAGAGAGAGAGAGAGAAGTCTTCCTTTTTCCATTGGTTCACCCCCCCAAGTGGCCGCCGTGGCTGGTGCGCTGCACCGATCTGAAGCCAGGAGCCAGGTGCTTCCTCCTGGTCTCCCATGCGTGTACATAGCCCAAGGACCTGGGCCATCCTCCACTGCACTCCCGGGCCACAGCAGAGAGCTGGACTGGAAGAGGAGCAACTGGGACAGAACCGGCACCCCAACTGGGACTAGAACCCAGGGTGCCGGCGCCGCAGGCAGAGGATTAGCCTAGTGAGCCATGGCGCTGGCCCCACTTTTCCTATTTCTAAAAAATAATTTGGGTATTTTTTTCCTGATACATTTGTTATTTAAGATAAATTTGCATGTGTCTAAATAATTTATCAGTTGTACTTAAGTGGAGTTCTACTATCATTTAACACTCGATAAATAATGTGTTTTGTAGGTTTATGCTTTCATGTCATTATTGGAGTCTAAATTTTGAGATATTCAAAATTATATTTTAGCATTTGGAAGTAATGTTCACTTTATTTTGCTCTTCAAAATGTTTTCTATCATACTAACCTGTCAGTTTTTAAATGAATTCATTTTTCACTTTGTTTCTGTATCTATTAGATACTAGTACACTAAGTTTTATGATAATTTTTATGTTACCTACAATTCTAAATGTTCTAATCTACTGTTTTCATGATTCTTCATGTTATTCATATTTTGATTGTTTTAACATTTACAAGTTTATTTAGTTAAAAAAGAGTAGGGGGATACCTTCTATCTGCTGGTTCAAATGCACAAAACAATTGGGGTTGGGCCAGGCTGAGGACACGAGTTAGAATCCCACCCAAGTTTCCTACTTGTTACATCCTAAGGTATGCATTAGCAGGAATATGGATCAAAAGCCAAGGAGGATTTAATCCTAGGCATTCTATTATGGGATGTCAGTGTCCCACGTGGCGACTTATCCCACTGTGCTATCATGTGCACTCTTTCATGTTATATATTAAAAACAGGTATACACAAAAATAGATATGCAAATGATATACTGTATCTGATAAATTAGTATTAAGCAGAGTCATGAAATTGCCATATAGTCATATCATTCTTCAGTTACAGTGTTACTTTTTATTTTTTCTTATTAAAAATTTCATTATGTAAATTTTGACAAAACATTATGTAGGCTCAGTTTGATATCTTGATAAAACCCAGTTAGATGACACAATTTATTATTAACATTACACAGAATGTCTCATTTGTTTCATACAAATCTGAGAAGCATTGTAGAGATGTCATATTTATCTGCTCCTTCCTACATCAGAGTAGACTGAAAAGATAGTATTCACGAATTTCCTGATGCCTCATTCTCTCACACTATTTTTAATACATCAGCTTCCATGATAGTTTAGACATGGCAAACTACAAATTACTAAAAAAATCTATAATGATAAAAAAACTAAATGTACTCATGATGAAATCTACTAATGGACATATAACATAGAAAGATACTAATTAATTAAAAACTTTCACTAGAGATAATATGAAATGGCATATATGAGGGCTCTTCAAAAAGTTCATGAAAATCTACATTATGAAAAACCCAGACATGAATTTCAAAAGTCTCACATCAAATTATACTTATCTTTTAATTACATTTTCATAAATTTTATGAAGTACGTTTGTATATTGCATGTCTAGTGTCTGAAAATCAATGCATATAACATACCAGGTAAGTAAAACTAAATACAATTTTCATATAATCATCTTAACAGAAAAGACATCTGGGTAAGCCTATAACCCATTTAAGATTAAACTCTAAACAAAACAAGAATTGAAAGCAACTTCTAAAACTGATAAAAAGCAATTATGTGTCAAAATTTGTTCTAGCAGTTAAGAACTAAGTAAGGATTCCAAGATCCTATATAAAATGCTGAACATGAGCGGGCATTGAAATACAAATGGCCAACAGACACATGAAAAAATGCTCAGGATCATTAGCCATCAGGGAAATTCAATTAAAAGCAATAAGGAAGTTTTACCTCATCCCATTTAGAATGGTGATCATTCAAGTCAAAAAGTAATGAATGGTGGCAAGAATATAGAGGAAAAGGCATGCTAACTTACTATTGGTGAGAATATAAACTGGAGTAACCGTTATGGAAGACAGTATGGAAATTCCTCAGAAATATAAAAGTAGATCTACCATGTTACCCAGCCATCCCACTCATGGGAAAATACCAAAAAGAAATAAAATCAGCATATAAAGGAAATAGTTGTACTTCCATGTGTATAGCAGCTCAATTCACATTAGCTACGATACAGAATTAACTGAGGTGTCCATCAAATGACAAATGGGAGAATGTGGTATACATACATGATGGAATACTACTTGGCCATAAAAATAATGAAATCCTGTCCTTTGCAACAAAATGCATTCACCTGGAGACCATTACCTTTAGTGAAATAAGCCAGACCCAAAAAGACAAATATCATACATTTTCTCTGATTTGTGATAGCTAATCTGTAGAGTGCAAAAATGTTAATGTATATGCATGAAAGTGATAATTGGATTTGTTTATTGTTTATGGTCCTTTACTCATGTGGAACAGTGGTCTATTTGTCACTTGTTGTAGTCTTTATTTAGTGGATTATAAAGTAAAATAAAATATACTATTGCAAAAAATAAAAGGAAAATAAAGAAAGGTGAGGGCAGGAGGGAAGCAGGTATTATATTCTTGGAAATGTATCTATGTACTACATAAAATTTGCTATCCTCATAGTAATCAAAATGTTTACAATATTTGTGCAAGAACTCACAGGTTCTATATCTGAGTGGGTTCAGTTTCCAGCTCCATCTCACTTCCCCTTTTTGTGACTGTAGACCATGGAAAACAGAAGTAATGGCTCAAGCAGTTTGGTTTCTTTCACTTATGTAGGAGATTTGAATTGAATCTCCAGTTCCTGACTGAGGCTTGTCCTGCAAAGCCACACCGTGTGGGAGAGCAGGGCGACAGTGTCCTTCCCACAAGGAACACCAGAGAGGTTTCGTGAACATGTCTGAATTTATTCACAGCCACATCCACTTTTTAAAGGGCAGGGAGAAGGGTTCA